TCGGCTGCGGCAGCTCGCGCCCTTCATGAGGATGATCTGGTACGTGGCTGCCTCTTCGTCTACCAATATCTCGTCGTAGGCGGTACTAATGTTCCATCTCATTGTTGTATGTCCACCAGCTTCATCCTCCACCTCTTGCACCGGCTTCCTCACTTCCAGAGGCCTCGGCCAAGGGTTCTCGGTCACCAACTCCCGTATCCTCACCGGATAGCGGGGTGTCCGAGGACTCTAGGTCGGTAGGTGCTTTTTCTCCAGCGCCTAGAAAGGTCTTCTACAGTTCAAGAGGGGGTGGCGACTGCCGTTGCCCCTCATCGTCTCCCGCCTCACGAGGCCGAGGAGATGACCAGTTTGAGAGACGAGGTCTCGGACCTCCATGTTCGATGCGAGGAGGCCGAGCGAGCCCTCGCTGACGAGGTTCAGCTTCGGACAGCCGCCGAAGCTGACAGCGTACGCTCCACGGAGGATTTTTACACGATCCACGCCTCAAACCAGGAGTTGCGAGCGGAGAACGCGGGAATGGTCGCGAGGGTCCATGAGTTGGATGTCGCGGTTGAAGAAAAGGCTCACGGGATCCAGTGACTCAAGGACCGCTGTCGCTCTTCCGAGGCGGACTGCGCCTCCGCAATGCGTTATGTGGATCAGAGCGTGAGCGGATGAAGGCAGGGCTCGCGGTCTACAACGTAGAGCTCACGAAACCCCGGCAATATCTGGATGAGCACGACCGAGGGAAGGTCAGCTCTCCTTCGCCACGAATGAAGGCTCTGTTGGCTGAGAATGCCAGTCTTCGTCGCGCCAACTCCGTTCTCAGGCAGAACTCGGCTGAGCATGGGCTCAATACCGACGCGTTGATCCTTTCGACTGCCGGGCTCTCTGCATCTGGTCTCGATTGGGAGCTGCTAGGTCTGGGTCCCGATCACACTGGCATCCTTCGCCTCCTGCCGTCAAGTTCTATTTCTGACGGCTCGACTGGCGAGGACGCTATGCCTCCAGCTACCGAGATCTTGGAGATGCCGTCAAAGGTGTCTTTTGGCTCTGGTGCACTCAACGAGGGACCGACCGAGCACTCGTTTATTCGGCCACTAAGCAATCCGTCAGTGGATTCGTCCGCCGAAGTCTCGGTCGGTGGTCCAGACAGAGGAGGATTGTTTGATGACGAGCCGACAGAGGACCCGCAAACGCCTTCGGCAAAACGCGGCGGTGCGGCAGGTGAAGGCACCATCGTCGAAACTTTCTGTGTCTCGACGGCTCGGTCGCCCTTCTGTCGACCTGAAAAGGTAGACGGCGTCTGCCGCCACATCTCCGAAGGCCTGGTCGAGCTGCAAGAAACCTCGACCCGGCACCCCCGTTCCGACTGGCGGTTTGTCACCTGCTAAGGGCTCTCGTTCACCACCTCATCCTACCCTTGGTGAGGGGGAGATTGATGACAGTATGGGATATGACCCTGAGACTGAGGCTCCTGTCGGTGACGCGAGTCCTCGGTCACCATCTATTTCGGGCGTCCAGGTTAAAACTAGCCCATGATGGAACCTGCTTGTCGCCACCGACACTGTTCCATCCAAGTCGACGGCAGAGGTCCTGGACCTCACAGCTGACGACGTTACAGTCTCTCCGAAGAAGCAAAATTCAAGCCCGTTCTCATCGTGGTCTCCTACTTCCCTCGCATGGATGGCCGTCCTCGTCGAAGTACTTCCGTTGCGTCGGAATTGAGGATGCGTGAGAGTCTCGAACGAGAGCTGGCCGACGATAATTTCATGCTTGGTCTCACCAGCGAAAGCTCGGTCGCGGAAGGTTCGAATACCTCGCGGAGTACAGCGCGAGTAGCTAACGCATTCAAAACAGTTTGGGAATTCTCAATTGAAATCGACCACAAAACCGCGGGATGAACTTCTACTCGTCGTTCCAAAAGCACGATTTTCACTTAGAATTCTGTATAGAGACGCCAAAATCCACTAGTGGCACCGAGCTCTCTGTTGAGGGACCTGTTACTACGGAGTCTCCGGCTGCAGGCTCCTCGGTGGAGGCACAGGTGTCTCCCGACGACTCCTCTATAGAGACTCCCAGTGGCGGTGCGACAACGTCGAGTCCGCCCACCATTTCAACTCCGCTACACACTACTCAAGATCCTCCGCCGCCACCTCCGCGACCCTCTTCGGCCATCCCTATTTCTCAGTTGCTGAACGAGGTTGACGTGGATTTGGCTGCGTTGGATGAGTCTGACGCCTCCGTCAAAGGGTTGGGTGCGCGTCCTGATGAGAGCCGGCAGAATACCGAGTCCCCTGTTACTCCGGTGCCCCAAGAGTCAACGGATGGGGAGTCAGTACCCACGACTGTGGTTATGGGTGGAAGCAATACTCACGACGAGCCCTCTTCGGCCAAACCTGCCTCTCCTGGACCTGGCGACGAAAGCTCGGTCGAGCCCACTGCGGCTCCGGTGCAGTTGGAGACGCGGCCTCAACGGTCTGCCGAGACCTTGGTCAGGTCGTCAGCTTGCTTTCGTCGCGGACGTGGTCGAACTACTCAGAGCGACCCCCGTCCTCGACGCCCAACTCGGGTCATTACGGCCACTGTGACCGCTCGGCGTGGCACAGACACCACCACGTTCGATCCAGCGTTGGCTTAGATCTTGCGGGCTACCAACTCGCGGAAGCTTCCTGCGAACGCTGAACGCTTCCTGAAGCCCCGATTTGTGGTTGGCGGCGCACAGAAGGCTTGGTGCAAGATGTTGAACGTCATTCTCTCTGTACCTGCCTCGAAAGAGCACTCGCCTCCTCTCGATTTCGCTTTTCTTGCCCTCATGTACAATGTCAAGAGCTCGAGACACCCTTGGCGGGTGCTGTTTGACCGAATGCCCAAAGAGCACTTGACTTTTTCGTTGGGGAAGTTTGTCAAGGGGGTGCGGATCTCTATACGCGCGTCAGGGCTCGGTGGTCTCGCACGCATATGGCGCCGGTTTTCCGGCCACTGCTTTGAGGACAACAAAAGATTGACTTCTGTGTCGCTTTGTGGGAACGTCGTCAGTGGCTTCAAGTTTCTTCCATGAACAATGCGACTCACACGTTCCATGAGACCAGTGACCCTCTCGATCCGCTCACCCAGGTCATCCTCGATTTGTGGGTCGATCTTAATCGGACAAGGAATAACCGTGCTGACCTCCCCCGACAGCAATTGATCGGCTGTGGGAGTGGTGTGCGAAGGCCAGTGGTGACACTGGCACTCTGCCCACCGAGGTTTTGCTGGAACCAAGCTATCTCCAGTATTCGATGGAGGTGTTGTAGTGGGCTTCTGCCACCGAGGATTGGTCTCGCGAATTATGGGTGCTGGACGTCGAGCAACCTTGGAGAAACTGCTGGATCGATGCTCCTGCAGAGCATCCGTACAACACAACGTACGCACCTTGCAACCCCGAGGCTCCGGTTTTTGTGCCATCTACGATGACTCGACAAGCTGTCATCTCTGGCATCGTCGTGGATCAGTCTCTGGCCGACGCTGATTTCGTGGCTCCATGGATCGACGAAGCCTCTGCTATCACCAGAGCTGCCAAACATTCGCTCACTGGAGCTACTAAAGAGGGCTCGGTTGGTGCTGAAACTGCTGCGCCAAACCCCGTTGAGACAGCAGAGACTCTTAACGAAGACTCGTTTTCGTTTGCCCCTGTCGAACCGGCAACGTCGGATCCTGGTGCTGTGGTGGCCGAGAGCTTAGCCACTCCGACTGGTGTTAAGGTCCCTGCTCATGGTGCAGAGGAGCCTCCATTCGACATAGTGCTAGCTCCATTCGAGATGCTAGTCCGAATCGCAACCAGCGAGCGTTTGGCGTCGGAGTAATTCCTCTTTCTCGTTCCCTCCTACGTAGTTCAGTTTTCAAGTATTAATCTAGTGATAATTCCAAGTAGTCTCGTGATCTCCATTCTCCATATCTCCATTATTCCATTCCGAAAATTCGTTCACATCATATACAAACATGTAATATGCATTCTGGTGCAGTAACTGCTATCGTCTGCTGTTGTGGGCTGGTCTTAACCCCACAAACAGATCATTCATCAGTCGCATTTAATCCTCTTCAGCGACTTGGACCATTTGCAATCTGGTCACGACATTTTTCTTGGAGATATAATAGACCACTACAAGAGAGGTTGGATACAGGCTCCCATGTCGGATCATCATAGCCGACCCACTTCACCTTGAATTCTCAGACGGATCGTTCTGTGCTAGTGGACAGAGGGTCTGTCATCCTGTATCGCCTCGACTTTAAATTCGCCCGCGACATGATCTGGTTCCCAGCTATCCTCTGGGAGCAATTCCTCGTCAAAATCCAATCGTGTAGCCTCGTTCACGTCCTGTGTCAAACGAGCACTCGGTCGGTCTCCAAATTGATCTACCATCTTTAAGTGTGACAGGGTAAAACCTGTACCCGCTCCGGTCAGGGAGTTCGAGTTCGTAGGCGAACTCTGTCACTTTCTTTTTCACCCTAAACGATCCATGCCATCGGTGTGCAAGCTTTTTTGTCAGTCCTAGCTTCACTCGTTCCATATACAACCACATACGGCTCCCGACCTCGAACAGAGATCTCGTAGCACCCGTAGCATCGCCGTCCGAGTCCTCGGTCACTGCCCCTGGCGCAAGCTGTTCGTCACTTGGTGTAACGGTTTGGCCTTTTTCTGGGGCCGTTCCTCTTTCTCGGCCACGGAGGCTTTCGTTGTGTTTCCTCTCTCTCCGAGCCTTCTCGGTCCATTGAGTTGTTGATCGCAAAAATCAGCTTTTCGGCGATCTCGTTCCAGTCTTGTTGCTGTGGGTCTTCCGGGTACACGCGCACCGATTGCATGACGGTCTTGACCGAACGCCCGTGCTGGTCATTGGCTTGGGGCGGGTAACTCAATATTGCCCTAGACCTTGATTGCATCATTTCGGTCAACGATTGGAACACCTCGCTCATGAATCGAGGGTCGCTGTCATGTCGGATGAGAGAGGGTGCGCCGAATCTCCGGTACACACACTCCTCAAAAGTCTGGGCCACTCTAAGAGCAGTCATCACATACCCTGTGAATGCGCATTGGAACAGTAAAAGCGCTGTGTTACCCCGCCGAGACTTCGGTAAGGGTATCACAAAATCCATCGAAACAACCTGAAACGATCGTTCCGCTAGTATGTTCCCCGGAGAGTATCCACGGATCTTGGGCCGACCTTTCCTTGAGCTACAGTCGAGACAGGATCGCACGTGCCTCGCCACGTCTACATGTAGACCGATCCAGTAATAGTCCAACTTCACTCTGTAGAAAGTCCGGGCGATATCTTGATGGCCTCCTTCCAACGAGTCGTGACAGTTCTGCAATATCTCCTGAATCATTGTTGAGGGTACTACTAGACGCAGCATCGCGTCTCTTGCTGTTGGTCACTTCTCAGAGGCCTCGTTCCCACATAGTAGAGCACGTTGTCCTCGCTTAGGTCGAAGTGGTCGGACATTTTCCACGCGTCTCTCGCTGCCCGGTACGTTAGGGTTGATTCTTCCCCGCGGTGAACTGTCTTCAAATTCGCCCATCGCAACACCTCGTCCTGAGCGGTCGCGATCCTTCTCCGACGTTCTCTCTGGACCGTTAGTGGATCCACGCCTTCTGCATCAGGCAACACGGGGGTATCACTGTTGGGTACCGTTACCCTTGATAACTCTGCTTCCTTACGGACTGAATCCCCTGTTGGTACATCATTGGCTTCCTCTCGTTGTGTTACGTCTTCTTCACCTGTCACCGAGGTTTCGTTGGCGAATCTGACGCGTTTAGGCTTCGACTTAGCTTGGAGCCTGGTCGTTACCGTTAGGTTCCCTATGTCCCTTCGCACGAAGTCGAAGAAATGTTTTCGACGCAGCTCCGGGGCAGTGCCGGATCGCTGTGACGGTTCCATGTGTCGCAAATGTCGCGTCTGAACTTGCGCTTGTGCGATGCTAACCGAGGGTTCGTCCGCCGAGGACTCGGTGATAGGTGCATAGATGACCTCTTGGATACAGTTCAGTGACCACAACTCTGCTAGCCTAGGCTCGGTAGATATAACACTTGATGCCTTGTTTTCCAATGCTTCAGTTGCTAATGAGTCGACCGACGCATTGTACTCTCGTACAGCGTATAGGTACTTGACTGACCTTAGTCGTGCGACGAGTTCTCGGTGGCGGTTAAGTTGGGTCATAAGGACTCCTTCTTACACGCAATCACCCCTAGTGACTGCTGCTTTGCTAGTCTCGAATCACCAACAATGACAAGGTCGATGGCACCAACGTCCAGTGCCGCCTGAACCCCATTGTTCATGCCAGAGTACGCGACCATGTTCACTGTTGTTGCTTCGAGATAAGCACTCGCAGCAGTGACTATTGCCCAGTCGGGTAGTCACCAAACAATCCATGAGCAACTACCATAGCCACCGTATTCTCGGTTTTGGCTGATCCGTCAAACGAGGCCATGAGCCCAGGGTAGACGAGCGTAAAACAACTGAGGGTCCATGCGGACGGTAGAAGATCCCTTCGTGGGTGGTGTAACCGTCGCCAACGAGTCCTCCAATTCCACAAAACTCGTTAGCCCAGCTTACAGTAGCTGGGCGAAAGCGCAATCCTTTTCTTTGACTCTGTTGACAACCAGGTGCCACGGAGACATCATCACGGCGAATTGGGTCGTCCGTCCGAACAGGGACTTGGATGTGTGTACCCACTCCAATGTTGAAAACCGGGTGTACACATTAATTGTGCGGCCCGCCAGATGCGTATAACATGTCTTCAGCAGCAATAGAAGCGCTAGCACTTCCTTCTCAGCTGGATGGTAATTCATCTCAGCCTCCTTCAGAACGCGTCCGCAAAAACGGACTGGATGCATTTTGCCGTCATGCTCTTGCATCAGGGTGGAGCTTAACACCCACTCGTTTGCAAATAGTATCACATGGACTTCCTTTTGCCGGTCAAAATGACGCAGAATCGGGGCGTCACCGATTTTCTGTTGCAATTTAGAAAACATCTGTCGGGCGACCGACAAATCACCGCTCGGTTCGAAATCTTCCTCTTTCAGCTGGTACAACGCAGCCGCGTAAACCGCGAAGCCCTGGATAAACCGCCTATAGTAGTTCAGTGCTCCCAAAAAGGACTGCATGCGTTTCTTTCTCGTCAGGAACGAGAACTCTGTCACCCGCTTGATCTTCTTAGCGTCCGCTCGTAACCCTTCTGGAACCACCTCATGCGAAAGAAAATCGCCTCATGGCTGAACAAGAATACTCTTGGTGAAGCTGACACTGATTAGGCACTCAGTAAACCGCCGGAGTAACCGATCCAGGGTTGACAGACATCCAACGAACGTCTCGCTCCCAAAACAAATATCATCGACAAACGGCCTTCGGTCAAATACTGGTACCAACGAGGTCTCGTCTGGTTCGCCATTCGTAAACATATCGCCTACCGAACAATTAACTAGTTCTGAGACGGGGTCCGGATTAGATGCGGACTCTCGGTCAGCCTCAAATTTGGAACGAGGCCTCGTTGAACCCTCTGTCACCCCTGTGTTGGTGCGTTCGACGTCTTCTTCAGCGAACCGCATACACTCAGAGTACTCTTTCCAACCGCCCTTGGGTTGAACGATTCCCCATAAAGCGTTGTCCATCATCTGTTGATAAATAATGGGTGCGGTCTTAAGGCCGAATGGCATCCGGCGCCATTCAAAATGTCCAAGTGCACACACAAAAGCAGAGACTTTTCGAGCCTCTTCGTCGTCATAACAGCCCCGAACCCACTTGCTACATCAAGCGAGCAAAACCATAAGTACGCCTCCGCATCAGTCAGTAAAGAATCCACCAGAAACTTGCATATTCCATAATAGTCGTAACAGCATTCACTCGTTTGTAGTCGATGCGCAACCGGACGTCAACCCCGTTCTTTTTCAGCACTATCACAATGGGCGAGGCCCATGGGCTGTCTGAAAATGTGATCAATCCAGTTCGTAATAGCCCTTTCAGCAACTCGTACAGCTTTTCCAGCACTCGTAGTGGTGTTCGCCGTGCTCTATATTTGGTCGGCATGTGCCTCTGCACATCAATGTCACATACCACTCCGTACAATACCGGCGGTGGTAGTGCATTATCACTAGCAATCATAATCCCTTCGTGACGTTTTAAAACATCGACGAGTTGTAGTTGTTCGTTTTCGCTCATACTCTTCTTCATGAGTAGTCTAGCACCGTCGACGAGGTTTCAGTCAATTCAGGCAAAAAGGCTAACTCGTGAGCGTAGTCAACTAGTTCTATCTCGTTCGGAAGGTGCTCGTACAAATCGTCGTCATCGTTTCTGTAGCCAGAAGCGATTTCGGTTTCGATTTCTTGCATCACTGAGATGTAGGTCAATTCTAGCATGTCGACCGAGTCTTCGGCTGGGTTTACTTCGTCGTCCCCATCGTCCGAAAACTCTGTTGGTCGTGTGTCGGGCTCCCCGCCTATCTCTTCGTCGAGCCCTGCGGCGACCGAGGCTTCGCTATCATCATAGATCTTCACACTGTTATGGTCGTTCACACCATCACCCCTGTCATCCGACCCTGGATGACCCAGCATAAACGTTCTGGGCGCCACCGAGTTCTCGGTCGGCCTCGCTAAAATGCGTGCAGGCGTTGTATACTCCTTTCGCTCTACTGCCGGTGGTTGCTCCGCTAACCAGCACTCGTAGAGCTCTTTCTCCTTCTGCAGAAGAGTATCGCCTCGCCCCTCGGCGTACGCAAGGACTTGCCATTCGTTATACTTGCTCGAATCGAACCTGACATACCCCACTTCACGTGGGAGCTCTCTTTTGGGTAACCACAGGACCACAGAGGAATGCTTGTAGCACCGAGCCGTCCCATCCGACACGTTCGTCAGGCGGACCCACACAGGCTTGCCCCTGCGGGATTCCATCACCGTCGGTACCATTTGTCTCGTCCTTCGTATCCATAACTCGTGTGTCGCACGTGAGGGTCTCTTCCGAGGCAGTCGGAACTCTCGCCACTCACCTCGAGGGACGTACGAGTCCTCGGTCGGTCCACCGACGACTTGGACTCCATACGGTCCGTCATCCGCGGCACCAGCCGACTTCACCAGTGGCACTGTCACCTCGTCCGGTAGTCTGGCAGTGCCATGGAACAGATACAATCGTACACCTGCGGTGATCATGAAATCCGTCCCAAGCACGACGTCAACGCCTGCACTGTGGTCCATAATCCACATTTCAAACTCGTACACCCGCTCCCATCCAAGGGTGATCTTAACGAGTGTTCTCCTTCGGGTCTCCATCACCCCAGGGTTACTTCCTCGTACTTCCAAACTGCGGCCATGATCGGACACTTTACGTAAGTGCAGTCGCTTAGCGTACGCTGCCGATATCACGCTGATATTAGCTCCAGTGTCTAGCAGAACCCTCGTTCGAGTGTCGTCAATATCACCCATGACGACAGCTCTCATTCTCTTTTGTTTGTCGTATCGTTGAGATGACCACCACCCTAGTCTTTTGCCTGATAGCAGCTTGGCAGTCCGAACGAGGCTTCGGGATGATGTCTCGTTGGGTTCCCGATTTCAAGCCGAAGCCTCTGTCAGGTACCCATAATATCCTCCCACTTCCAGTTCATCTGCCTCGTTCTCACCGAGGCTTCCATCGTTTCCTTCGACAATTTCCATCGTATTCATAAATCCCATTTCACGGTCTTCGGGCCATTTCACCTCCCCTGTGAAGGCAAACAAATAGTCTGCATCTACCGCGGGCTCAGCTAACTGTGGCAGCCCGATAGGAACCAACCCAGTTTCAGTTGGCGGACTGCCTAGTTTAAATGATTCCCGTACACCACGCTTTGCAGCATCGGTGTCAAATCGTTCTTGTCGACTTTCGACCGGAGGAGGCTGGCGAGTTCGTTGAAGGCTTCACACTTTCCGGCATCATGGACCTGCTTGCACAGTTTGCACCGCTTGTAGCAGTAGTGCACGGAGTGAGTCAGACCTTCGCATGCTGCGCAAGGACCATATTGCTGCCGTCGGTTGCTGTTGTCGCGAGCGAAGCCTCTATCATTGTTGAAATGACGATCACCCTTGGGGCGTCGATTGTCTGATCTGGCAAACCTCCCTTCCGCCGCCACACGACGTTCATGGTCGTTCGCTGCCGCGCCGTGACCGCGCTCGTCCTCACCAGCGTAGTCGTACTCTGAACCTCTGTAAGAGTATCGAACTTCGTCGACTCGTCGCTCTCCATCACCGAACGAGTCCTTGTTCGACTCATATTCATGATCGTACGATCCTGACTGACCCGTCTGTGGTCCGACCGAGGTCTCGTTTAAAGCAGTGACCAAATTAGATAACGCATCTGCGAGGGTAA